CAATCAGGTGTGTAGGTCACCTTCCTTTCAGTCTCAGGTTTGGATACATGAGCTCCAGTGGATAAAGTTCGTAGCGCTAAGCACTTGGTCACAAACACATCATATGAAGCACAGCAAGGAGAAAAATATTTCCTTCCCTTCAGAGCAAAAACAGACTGAGACAGCAATCAAAAGACAAAGCTCTTTAAGATTGCTGAGAACTGAGATATTCCACACACACAAAGTCTACTTCACTGTCTCATATCCCTTTGCTACCTAAAATATTAACATTTGTGGGAACCGAGGCAGAGTGAGATGACTTGCTAATGGATTTGCTATTGTTTCTTTATGATCTTAATTTTAATCTTTTTTTTTTAACCTCAATTCAGCATCCTCCTTTGCAATGATTCCCATGTTTCTACAGTTATGTTTCACTGTTTTCCATTTAAGAAGCATTGAAAGCTAATTATATAAAAATTCTAGTAAAGGACACGAACTCTCCCAAAGAACTCTCCCGCTGATCAATTATTTAAAAAAAAAAAAAAGAATAAATAAGACGTTTAAAATACTTCACACATGAGATTATATAAATTATACCTGATTAGGCAGTGGAGACTTTAGAATCTGAGAGCTTAAAAAATGATAAAATGCAGACCATGCACCTGGTCCAAACAGCACCTTTCAAACTCCGAGCTTGACTAGCATCATCTGAAAGGACCAGGGAACATGGAGCCAGCTTATCCCATGACCACTCTCCAGCCATGTAAGAACTTTCCTGTCCTGTGTCTTCACCTTCTCATTCTCCTGAATTCTGTCCCTGGTGGGTGCTAAACAGTGAGTTGGGGGAGGCAGTGAATGAAGAGAAAAAGCAAAAGAACTCCATACAACCTTGGGCTAATGTGGGCAGCCTGCCCTGACCATGGCTGGGGAGTGTAAGTGAGAGGACATGCACTGCTTTGGAATGCATATTACAGCAGGTTCACTACCGTGGACTGGACCCTTTAATTCTTGAATCAAGACTGAGTTTGTGAATTAAAGTGACCCAGTGACAGTTGATGATCTAAGAATGAGCTGAAATGCCACGCAGAGGGAAAGCTTCCCTGACTGCATAAAGTTAAAGGCGCCACACGAGATAAAAATAGCTGTGTTTTGATTTCATCCCACGTGGAGCTTGTTCAACATATTGGATACGGAAAACACGATCACACACATGCTTGTTAACAGCTGGTCTCTTAAGACATCCACTAACACTAAGGAAAGTCTCCATCAATGCTGTCTCTTAAGGTGACCAAAGATAGCAGCGCTGGAACAATGTTGATAAGAAATAGTAACTGCTAAGAGCCCAAAGCAAGGTCTCCAGAGCAAAAGGGAAGAGGATTAAGGGACCCTCTAGAGGAGGAAGGCACATTGCCTGCTCTGTAAACACAGAGGTTTTTTTGGAAAAATCACCAAATATTTGGAAATTTAATGACATACTTCCAAATAACAAATAGGTTATAAAAAAAAAACTCACAAGGGAACTTAGAAATAAGAGAATGAATATGAAGAGAATGAATATGAAAACACAACATGCAAAAATTGGTGGGATGTCACTAATATGTGCTAACAGAGAAATGTATAGCATTACTAAGTTATATTAGAAAATAAAGGTTTCAAATCAACAATCTATGGCAGAAATTGGCAAACTTTTCCGTAAAGAGCTAAATATTTTAGGTTTTGCAGGTCATATGGTTTCCATTGCAACTACTCAACTCTGCTGCTGTAGCACAAAAACAGCTATGGGTAATAAAGTGGCTGTATTTCAATAAAACTTTATTTATAAAAACGGGCAGTGGGGCTAGATTCGGTACATGGACCATATTTGCTGATCCCCATTAGAATATTAGCTTCATAAATGTGAAAAATTTAATCCATTTTGTTACCTGCTGCATCTTCAACCAGTGCATGGCCTTTAATATATGTCTAATAAATATCTGTTGAACGAACAAACTAACCTACAGAACAGGCATATGAGTGAAGTATTATCATTTTACAGATGCGTATACTAAAATGAAATAATTTGTCATGCTACCAATAAGTGACAGAACCAGCATTAAGCACAGGCCTAATTCCAAAGTTCTGTGCACTTTCCTCTACAGTACACTGATACAGCAAAAGCATCACTAAATAATTATAAAAGCATCATACTGTCAAATACATATTCTCTAACTGTCCTTTTCCCTTATCCATAGTTAGTAGTTTCCTCAGAATTGGTACCAAATGAACAGGTATCATAATGTTAAAACCATATATATGTAAACATATAAAGATATAAACATATATATATGTTTATATCTTTATCTCATAATCTTTATATTTCTATATCTGTATCTGCAGATTTAATATTTATACTACAATTGATGCAACAAAACCCCTAGATTGAATCTTGGACACAAACCCTTTAATTATATAAGTAGGAAGACAAGAAAGCTACCTTCTTTAAAACAGTCATCGTATTTAGAAGACCAAATCAATTTCGTGCACTCATACATGTAGCACACATGAGTATGACATTAATTTTTATTCTTTTTTTAAAAACGTAAGGAAAAAACAAACACCAAAACATCCTATTCTTCTCTGCCTTACAAATCCCTCATTTCAGCTCTCCACGTAGGAGCAGGCCCTTGGCTGTTGCGTGGTTCAGATACAGCAGCCCCGTCCCATGGGCCACAGCTGCATTCTTTCAATAACCAGTTCCCAGAGCTGATCATACACATCTGCTTCCCTTCACAAGTCAATAATAGGCATTAGGAAAGCCAGAGCAGTTCTGAATATAGATTCTACAATTGCACGTCTTCCTACATTTTCGTAACTTGCCTGGGTTTTACCATCAACGTAATAATCAGGGAACTGGAAGGAGCCGAGTTGCTGTTTTGTTCAATTTTCTCTCTTCAGATGCTCAGGGCAGAATTTTTAAAAAATCTGTGTACACGGGACCAATGCTGCATACTAAGAAGCTACTGAAGAATAAGACAAAGAGCATCCAACACCATTTTCCTGCCTTAAAACTTAATGCATCTGACATCGCAGTGATTAATGGGCATGCCACGATGCAGAAAAACGCAAGGCTGTGCAACCACTGAAAGATTATTAAACCCAGTAAGAAGATAAAAGTCAATGAAAAATGATATAATAAAGCTGAACTTTGCAGATGCTTGACTGCCAGATCTTGCAATAAAAATATATCTACATTCTATAAATCAATATACTAGTAAATCTTTGGGGCAAATAGATTGCTCACTGAAACTGAGTAAGGAGGCTAAACTGTACCTCATCCATAACCAATTCAGAGCAGGAAGTCTGTCCTCAAAGAGTCTAATTTGGGGTAATTGAACATGAATTTAGGATGAGTGTGTTGTACTAGCAACTGCTTCATGTTACACAGCCAGCAAGTGACAAAAGTAGGATTTTAACACAGGTCTGTCTCACTGCCAGGCCCTTGCTCTTAGCGGCTAAGTGATGAGAGCCAGACGGGACCCCTGAAATTATAAACCCTCCGTTTATAGATGAGGATTTGACCCATGCCGTGTTCAAGGTCACACCTTCATTACTGGTACATCAGCGCTAATACCCAGGGGATACTTTTCTACGTTCCTTCTACTACCCATCTGGCCTTTTTCTAAAATTTGAAAATAGAAATACATTCTGATTTCCATAAACTGCTTATCATCACTGCACAGTGCTCAAGAGGCCCTCTCTGATTCGTTGAAGCCTCCAAAAGCCTCTTGTGACCACGGCTGATATAGAACAACAAACATTTTTAAAGGAAAACAGCAATATAATCAGTAATTAGCTAAGAGTTTCTACTACTAAGGGGTCAATTATATATTCCCTTACATTGTAAATATGGATTCTGACCATTCTTGAATACACTGGTTCCCAAACCTGGTTACACACTGTAATCACTAAAATCTAAGAGATTTCCAAAAACTCTCAAATCATAGAACAAGAGCCTCAATTCCTAAACCCAATTCTTTTTAGCTGGTGCTACGGAGAAACACACAGGAACCCTTAAGCACAGCGCACCTCAAAAGAGTAACCGGAGCTACCAAATGAGCTCATAATCCCAGCCCTGTGCTCACTGCGGTCTCCGTGCACACTTTGGAAAGCGACAACTGGAATCCTATGAACCACATTCCTAAGTCAGCTCATTGCAGTCCTTTCTCCAAAGTGTATTCTGATAGGTTTCTTCCCTCATTTAGGTCAATAGTAAAGGAAAACCGTTTGCATTTCACTAGCATGTTGGAACATCCCAGGTTTTGTTTTCCATAATAGAAGACAATGTGATTGATTACTTCTGGGGTCATGTGACCAATCAAGAGAGGACTTTAGCTGGTTTGGCTCAGTGGATAGAGCGTCGGCCTGTGGACTGAAGAGTCCCAGGTTCGATTCTGGTCAAGGGCACATGCCCGGGTTGCAGACTCAATCCTCAGTAGGGGGCGCACAGGAGGCAGCCAATCAATGATTCTCTCTCACCATTGATGTTTCTATCTCTCTCTCCCTCTCCCTTCCTCTCTGAAATCAATAAAAAATATATATATATTAAAAAAAGAGAGAGAACATTAATCACTCACTGTGAATAAGAAAATAATAGGATTAATATAAAATTTATAAACTTGTTCAGGGCTCTTTCCAGTTATAAGGAGTTACTTATAATAAACATTTGTATTTCTTACTTTTATGATAGAACATAATTATACCATTTTTTAAATCTTCCCTACCTCTTTCTTTATGGAAAATTCTACTTTGGCCCAGATCTTGCCTATTTTTAGTTCCAGCTACATAATAAACTGGCAAAGCTGAATATTTCTCAGGGTTTGCTTAATTAAAATTTGACTCAAATAAGAAAACACAATACAATATTTCTTTATTGTTAAAATAATTATTTTGTATTATCATGGCAATCTGACAGGATTTTCCTTAATGTTTCAAAAATAAGTATTCTGACCCAAGCATAATTCAAAAGGAAAATGTTCACTTACAGGGATCATCCAGTTAGCCAGGTCACCATATTTGGAAACCTGCATGGCTCCTAGCATGGTCAGGTTGACATGACCTCTGAGAAAGAGAAAGAGGAATTAACAGGCAAACGTCACAAGCTTCATGTCCCTTCGCTGGAAATTGCCAGCAATTAAAATAAATAACTCTGTATTCCCCCAAATGCAATTGCTTTCCCCCACCCAACACCTGATTTCCAAATACATCAGCTTGAGCTGATGTAGAGAAATAACCATTAAGAGTTCTTTTTAAAAAATTATAGCTCATATCGCTTCCAAAAGACAAATTAATCCAGTTGTACACAGTGAGTTTGTTGCCTTCAGTGAGGGAGCATGTGGCTTGATTGGAAGGCAAACATGAGCTAGAAAATGAACACAAAGTTTGTAGAAAATGTCAGGGGCCTCAGAAAGAACTTTTTAAAAATGTTTGCTTCGTGATAGCTGGCACACAGATATAAATTCCATTTGGGGGCTCTTTTAATAACAGCAGGCTGGCTGTTCCCATTCCTGACATCCGATGTGAATAATTTCACATCTCTGTGCAGCCGAACAAGCCCAGGATGGTTTTCTGGCGGGGAGACGTGTCTATGTTCAGAGCCTGGCTGACACGCTCCGCCAGTGACTCAGCCCCTTCCACAGTGTGAAACGTGAGCGGCTTTGTCATTACATACCCTCTAATCATCGCGAATGACTCATCGCTGGAGAAGTAAGAGGCTCCTGGAAGAACAGTAACTGTTTCCTTGCCTAAACACACGCACACACACACACACACGCACACACACACACGCGCACGCACGCACACACACACACACACACACGCACGCGCGCGCGCACACACACACACACACACACACACGACAAAGGGAGAACAAGGCTATTAGATTTCTGAGAGTACTGTGGTGGAGAGAGGGGTCAGAATTGTCACTAACACGGTTCACATTTGCCCTTGCATGGTGGTAACAAAGAGCAAACCCATTTTTTCATTTTATTGTTGTTCTGAAGTTCTCTACAGACAATGCAATACCCTTCCATGTCCCCCCCCCCCCCCCCCGCAGCCCCACTCCCCTCAGCAGCAGGTGCTATATGCTAACAGGACTGAGGAGAAAGAATCCAGTGCTACTGTGGTCGCTGGAGCAAAAAGATTGTGGAATAACCATGAAGAAATGTAATTCTGAAGGGAATAGCACAGGAGATGCACCTCAGATATTTTAAAAAAACAACAATGAATAACCTAGAAAGATTCTTTAACATCATTAGGGTTGAATCTTCTCTTTCCATCTCAATCTCTATCTCTCTCCCCATCTCATCTTTCCCCGCTTGACCCTGAAAGTTTCTATTAAGACCCTAGGACTTTGATGAAATTAGGGAATAACATTCTAATACTGGCCAACATATTTAATGTAACCCTCAAGAGGACTGCTCTCAAAACTTACATCTCATAATAGAAGTTCATCTAATACTATCATCTGATTTACATCTATGCCCCTTTCTTCTTGTGATCTATTTCCTGTCTGTCCAGGAGCTTCGGGTGTCCAGGAGAAGCTTCTAGTCTTGACCAGAATAGTATTCACAGGCCCTTTGCCAAAGGCAGGTCAACTGTATGACCTACCATGCATTACCCCTGTGTAACAGGACAGAGAAAAAGAAAGGGAAGGACTAGAGAAAGGATCCTGGATACAACAGGACCAGAGGGGTCTGACCATGCCCAGCCGTGCAGTACCCAGCTTCTCAAGTCTTGCCCGAAAGCTCACTTCTCCATCTATATCCCTCTCCATCTGAGCTCGAATGTGGAGAAAGAGGAAGACTATTTATATCATGCTGAAATATTTATCCTCCAAAGGAGTTGGATGCTAAACAACAAAAACATTTTCACATCTTTCAAAGTACCATAAAGCTGAAAAGCTTTAGAAAATACTTTCTAGTGTGGTTAGTAGGAGCTTTTAGACAGCACATAAGAGTTGAGGGATGAAATGAGATGATGCATGCAATGTCCTCAGCCTAGTGCCTGGCACAGAGAAAGGACTCCAATAAAGGTTAGCCTTGTCATTCCTCTCTCTGAACAATGCTGTTGCCCCTCAAGGAATTACTACTCCAGGACCAAGCATGACTGTTATGGTGGGTCATACAGTCAGCCTGTGGACCCCAGGTTTCAGGACAGGCCTAATACAACTGAACCTTATCCTGACACAAATTCCATGTCCAGCAAATTCCGTTCCTCACCAATCCTGTGAGGTGGAGAGGAAGCAGGACTATGTGGTAGGACAGTAAAGCAGAGGAACATAAACATCTCCGTTCCTTTGGTCTCTGTGTTAAATCACAGTGACTTCGCAATGGCAATTTCCACGGGCTGACGTACACGCCGGGCGCTATTTACCACGTCACAGGCAACCCTGAGGTCACTGCGGAGCTTCAGCTCTCCCTATGTGATTTATGAAGCACAGTTTTATTAAAGAGCCCGGACAGCACTTCTCATGCAGGGAGCTGCCAGGCCCCTGCCAATACATTCTGGTCTCTTACAAATTACATTTTTCAGAAGCAAAGTTAATTTTTAAACATCCAGTAACTAAACAGAAATAGATATTCTAAAGCTGAATCCATGCTTTTCAAGTGCAATATCAAATAGGGTCAAAAAAAATAACTATAACTAATAATACAATCAATAAGGGCTCAGTGTATAGGAGGCAAAGGCCAGAAGCCAAGCCTAGAAGACTGTGTGTATCCAGTCCCTAGCAACGTGATCTTGAGCACCTTACTTCACTTTTCTGGGCTCAGTTTCCCAATCTGTATAATGAGGTTTCACCTGAGGCTCAAACTATATCATACATCTAAAAAGTACGCTGTAAATTATTTAGTGTTATAGAAGTGGTGATTTGTTTTTACATAGTCATATGAGATTATTATTTAGAAAAATGGGATCCTTAGAAATAGCTTTATTATTATTTTAAAATTTCATGCACTGATTTTACCCAGACACCTAATTCAATATTCATTTCAAGAAAGTTGTATTTAAAAAAAAAAAAAATTCCTTTCAACTTAACATAAACAATGGGCTGATCTCTCAGGTAATTTTCAAATTTGAGGAGTTGAGGAAACTGACAATTTGTATTCTGGGTTCTCTAGCTCAAAGCTTTTCCTCCCTAATTTGGACAAATTCTAAAGCATCATAAATCCCAAAGAGGACTTTGATGAAAGAGTTAGAATATTATTAAACTGATTTGCAGCTTGGCTTCCCAAAAGCACTGAATTACTGTTTTACAAAGCAGTTTAAGATTATACGTGACATTTCAGAAGTTGAAATACAAAACTGGTGGCTTCGTTAGGATGGAGCTACTTTTAAACTCAATCAGAAACGCCTACCATCCAACAATGTCATTAGAAAAGATTAACTATTTTTCTAAGGAAAGTGGGTTCCATGAACTCAAGCCTGAAATTTAGAAAATGGAGTTATTCGTTTTGCAAATAACTCACTAACATCATAAATTAATTAAGCCAAGAAGCAAATATTTTCACAGATCAATGAACGACTGCTAAAGGGTACAGCACAATTAAATTACAGCCTTGGCTAAATGTCATTGCTTTATCACAGTGGGCCTTTCAGCGTTGAGTCATGTTAACTAATTCAACTATTCAACCAGAAGCTGTTTTACTTCCAAAAATTCTCTAAGAATCAAACATCAATTCTTCTCGGCATCTGGCCTTTAAGCTCAGCTCATTTTCCTTCTCTTCTGAGATTGGCACCTACTATTTTTGAATGTGGAGTAAGAATAATACGTTTTCAGCGATAGAGTGATTAGGAGTAAAAGAAGGGTACAGACAAGCAGGCTAAGAATCGCATAAAAATTATCTTCTCATGGGCAGTCCCATGCTAAGGATAATCATCGGCCCCAACACAGAGGCAGCAGTGGTGCCTCCAGCATGGGCAGTGACGCTGGCCAGGGCCTCCAACCTGCACTAGGTTGCTAATGCATGGACTCTAGGTTCTAGTTGCACAAAGAGCTCATAATAAGAAGTAAACCATCTGAGTGTGGGAACAAGGAGCTGATAAGACTAGACTCCCGAATTCAAAGAAACTCTATATATTACTCATATCACTGGGTCATACTTAGTGGCAGACACTCCCTTCAGCACCACCCCTGAACCTCTGAAGGATGCTCTCTGACTCTGATGAGGACTAGCAGACAGGAAGTGGCTCCTATAACAGAAACCTCCATGCACCAGATCTTTTCTTTTTGCCCCTATGGATCCACACCCACACTCTTCTCATCATGAGTGCAGACCTATTTCAACCTGGAATCATCCAAGGGGAGGCTCAAGCAGGAGACCCAGTGAAGGAGACCCACCTCACCCTCAACCTGGCTGTGTTCCTTCCCTTTTCTGTATTTTTGTTCTTTCTGGGAGATGTCCTTGGCTATGTTTCCTAACCTTTGTTGCAATTTTTCATATATATATATATATATATATATGAAAATTGTCAGCAATTATATATATATTCAGCAAGAGTTTTGTTTAAGCAGTCCTAATTTAATTCTTCATACCGAAGGCCATAGTTCCTGTTAGGTGACTGGCCCTCTCTGACAGCTGCCCCTTAAGGCCTGCCTAGGGGTAATAATAGTAACTCCCTGTACCATGGTATCTTACCATCCTTTCCTGGTTTCCCTAATCCTGTCCACACGCTTGTCGACTGTCCCTCCCTTCAGGCTCCTCAATACCCCCATTTATAGCCGGGACCCTGACCGATTAAACCACCAGAGCTCTCACCATGGGATGTAGCTCCACCTAGAATTTTGCCTTGAGCTTAGTCTCCCTAATAACAGTCCTCTGACAAGAAGTCAGGCAACAATGGGGCTTGGAAAGCTCATCTCCCCTCCTCAATGAAAAATACAGTGACTACTCTCTCAGAAAAGAGAAAGAAGCAAGCTCAACTCCTTACTGGTATCTGGAATAGAACTAAGCCAACAGCAAGGAAAACACTGGGAAACTCGTAATGAGTGAGTTTACCTGCATTGATTAGATCTGCATCGACTTCATTTTCGAATGGATATGGACCCTGCCAAATGAAACAAATGAGTCAATGTCAATTAGTAACAGAAGTTTCTCACTGAACTGAACACCAATACTGTAATATAAACAACGTCTCTAAAAACTCCAGGAAATCGTCTTCAGAAGACTTGAGGTGAATCTTCAAAAGATAATTCTGGTATTTGCATGGCTGTGTTTCTCACATTCTTTCTCACAGTCTTCCCTACACTATGTGTTTCTCATAATCTTTCCTACACTAATAATCGTGACTAGGTAAATGAAAAATATTTTCTAAATATGATCAAAGTTTGAAAGTAATATTAAATTTTTAGAAATATATGACAATAAAACAAAAAGTATTCACGGTCTACTATGCAGCAATGTTATTCATAAACCTTCCTCTTAGCAAATATAAACTAAATGGCTGCATTCTTGATAGAACCAAAAATGAGGACATATTGGCTGTAAAATTTTAACAGTCTTTCTAAGGACCAAAATTTTATTTTTTAAGTGAATTGAAGTGGTAACTAATGTTTAGACCTATGTAAATTTCCTTTTAAACATTGACCCTGGGTAATTCACGTAAACTTATTTCCCTTATTTCAAACTGAGGGAACTGGTCACTCTAGATAATCCCTAAGGTACCCAAACAATACACATCTTCTTTTTTGTTGTATTGTTTGTTTGTTTGTTAATCCTCACCAGAGGATATTTATCCATTGATTTTAGAGAGAATGGGAGGGACGGGGAGAGACACAGAGAGAGAAACAATGATTGGTTGCCTCCTATAAGTGCCCAGATCAGGGCCGGGGATGGAGCCTGCAACCAAGGTACATGCCCTTGACCAAAATCAAACAGGCAAACCTTCAGTCCAAGGGCCAACACTCCACTAACTGAGCCAAACCAGCCAGGGACTAAGTCTCTGACTTCAATACGAATCTGATTTCATCCAAACACATATCATTTTTGCCTTTGAAAATGGTCATGATTATTGCCTCAATCAACCAGTATCGACTCTATGCTTATAATCATTATTTATAATATAAATAATGGTATACATTTTTACATATATAATTTTTATTGCATTAACAGTTATTATCCACTGAGGAACAATAAAGATTAGGAATACTATAAATTGGCAGATTATAAATAATCTCTGCCATAGTTCATAATTTAATTAAAAATGTCACCCAGGAAGCAAATGTGCTTCTTTTTTTCATTATAATACTGAGGAAAAACTGTGGCCAAATTCTCTGAGAATACTGAGCTCACCTGCAAGGTTAATTCTGAGGAAAAGAAAATTCTACCCTTTGGGACAACAAGACCTTAAAACACATTGATGAGAAGAATTGCTAAGACTTTTTTTAATTAATCAACTGTCAAAAAAAAAAAAAAATGTCCCTGCCCTAAATAGAAACCTTACTCTCCAGTTTTCACTCAGAGCCTTACTGAATTTTATTTCACAGAGACTGGTTAACCTTCATTCTTGTCCAGCCACACAAGAGTTAAAAGTAGTTAACTAAAGAGCAAACTGTGAAGTCCTCTGAAGCAGGCTCGGGGAGATGGAAACCCATTACCTGATAAAGGAGGAGCAGTGAAAAAACTCGCATAGTCAGGAAACATCTGCTGCAGCAAATATAACACTACATACTCACAATGACCACCACTGTATGGGAAAGTTAAATATTTTATTGTGATGATAAACAAATAGAAAAGGAAGGCTGGGAACTTTAAGCTAACAATTCTCAGTTATTAGAAGGTTGCACTACATGGAATAGCTAGTTCTCCATCAAGACTGCATAAATACATAGAAACATGGAACAGACTGCGGAATCTCAGAGGGAAGGCAGGGATGGGTGAGTGGGTAGGAAGAGATCAACCAAAAAAAACTTGTATGCAAATATGCATAATCCATGGACACAATGATGAAGGCCAGGGGGCAGAGGGGCATGGGGGTTGGCAGGGGGTCAATGGGGTGGGGGGAAGGGTACATATGTAATACTTTCACCAATAAAGATAAATTTAAAAAAAAAAAAAAAAGATGAGCAGGGGGAAAAAAGACTGCATAAATAAAACTTTAATTTCTATCTTACCAAACCCAGGATTCCATTTTCACTCTGCAGATGGATAGTCATATTTGGGCTGATAAAGTTGCTGGCCAGAAGTGGGATTCCTATGCCCAAATTAGCTGGAAAAGAAGCTGTTAAGGTAGAACGTGGAAAAGGTAGAGAGATTTATGCCATAAATCTTCCACATACATCAACCCGAAGAGAAGCCTTCTTTAAAGGCCCTTGCTCTGAATGTAATTACTGAACACATTCTCCAATCACCCTCTAGGCACTTTTGTAATTAAAAAAAATAAAATAAAATAAAATCACTAATTAATCACAGCTTTTTCAATAACGCTGATATGCTTTCCCATAAATATATCAAAGCGGTGGCTTTAGAAGACCAGCCAAGAGGTCATTTTCACTGTAAGACATTCTGTTTGCATTAACATGCTCAGCAAATTTAGACTGATGTATTATGACTTGTGACTGATACAATATTATTAAATGTGGATTGACCTTTGTTTAAAAGCAATTTTGACTTTTCAAAACTCCAACTAAAAATAAGGATTACTTAACATTCTTAAAAAGGGCTACCATTTCTAAATTTTAAAAATTTTCTGACAATACCAAAATGTCTGCATGAAAGTGTTTCATCTCCTTTGGGTCACTAAAATAGCATCCACTGGTGACTGAGTCTTCCCTAAAATACAAGCGGGGAAGGGGGCATAAGTTTCAGTGAAAAAAATTGTAACTATATAAAAAGTAGCTGGGCCTTGACCAGTTTGGCTCAGTGGGTAGAGCGTCGGCCTACGGACTGAAAGGTCCCAGGTTCGATTCCGGTCAAGGGCGTGTACCTTGGTTGTGGGCACATCCCCAGTGGGAGGTGTGCAGGAGGCAGCTGAATCAATGTTTCTCTCTCATCAATGTTTCTAACTCTCTATCCCTCTTCCTTCCTCTCTGTAAAAAATCAATAAAATATATATATTTTTAAATGTAGCTGGGTTAAGGCATCAAAGAGTAACTGAGGGTGTTGAATCTTCTTCCTTAGACATCAAAATAGGATAAATCCTAATATGTACCCAAATGGTGTGGGTTCAGTCTTGCCTCTCAATACCAGCAATCTGAACAGATAAGTGATATGTAAATAAAAACTCACAGACACAGACAACAGTATTGTGGTTACCGAAGGGGAAGAAGAGGGAAGGTGGTAAAGGGTAAAAGGGTCGAATATATGGTGACAGAAGGAGATTGGACTTTGGGTGGTAAACACACAATGCAATATACAGATGATGATGTATAAATTCAAACCTATATAATTTTATTAATAATGTCACCCCAATAAATTTAATTTTAAAAAGAGGGATAAAAAAGATATGCTGCCCAGAACTGCCGACTATGCTGTCCACTACTGCTCGAGAGTGGTAAACACTCACTGTTATTTAAATGCAGTCAAAATCCAAACACTCATTGTACTAATTACCTCTTCCTATCTCTTTTTTGAGAAAATACTTAAAAGATTAAAAATGGCGGCAGAGTAGGTGGATGCAGCACGGACATGCTCCCAAGAACAAACTGGAATTACAATTAAAATACAGCAAAACTCCCTGACTCATCAACAGAAGACTCACAGGAGAGAACCCTGATACCTGAGGACTGAAAGTGGAGGCCGCATAGAAACTAGTAAGAGGTGCAGAGGGGCGGAGGCGCGAAAGGGCTGGCCAGGTGCCAATAGGCAGCAAGTGAAATTCCAGAGAGATATCTCAGCTATGGGGGTTGCCACTGAGAACTCTGGGGTCTAATCCCCAAGCTGGGCCCTGCAGCAGAGAGCACCAGAACTGAGAAGGGTACCCACATAACATCTCCCTGTGAAAAGCAGCCGGGTTGCTGTCTGCCAGGGAGTGACAGCTGAAAAGTCAGGCACCCTCTTAAAGGGCCAATGCACAAAATCCCCTGTAGAGCTGTTACAGAATTTACCAGGCAACTGGAAAATACACACAGAAGTACTTGGAGATTCAGGAAAAAAACATTTATTTCCAGATGTACTAGTACCATGACTCAGGGGAGTCTGTTTCCAAATCCTGAGCAAACCAATATAGAGGAAGCTTTCTCTTTATACTCTTTGGTTTCTTTGTCCCCCAAATAAGACTTCTGGACCTTTCTCGGGCTTTGCAAAAAACCCCATGTGTTGGGATGGGTGCCATGAGACCACACCTAAAGGCCTGTCCTGGCGCCAGCACTGATAACCCTGTCCAAGAATTGTGTATTGTTCATGGTTTATGGCCTTTGTAAAATGTGAGTATTTAGGTAAACAGGTCTGGCAAGACCAGATAATTAAGGAAGGGGCAGTGACTAGACTATAGGCTAATGGGAATGTGCATTAGGGATACTGATTAACTAGGTACAGAGTCAGGCTGCTGATCTCCCCCCTCAAAATGTCTTATTTTCTTCATAAGAGTCACCCACCTTGTGCTCTGGCTGAGGGAGGGCAGAGTGGACTGGAGCTGTATAAGCAGAAGCCAGGATTGGGGACTCGGAGGTTAGAGCTCAGAAGGCAGACATCCCAAGTTTCCTAGGCTGAGACATTCTCTCACACAGCAGACGACATTTTTCCCACACAGACATTTGCTATATAGGAGGCCTTGCCTGGGGGAAAGACAGTTGATGCACCCTACTGGAAAATACCTTGCCATGAGGCCACTTAAGAGACTAAAAATAACTACTAGCCTCCAGGCAGAAGCAACTGCCTGGCCCTGTTGAAAAAACTCTTGCCACTACCTAGGACATTACCTGGGTGGGGTATCCTATCAGTCTGTAGGCAGAAGCGGTCTCTGGAGGCTTTGAGTCTTTGCCTGTCCTAACTAGTCAGAAACAGTGTTTGACACTGTCCTGTACTAGAGATTGAGAGGTATAGAGGATCTACCTAATACATAATCAGAAATCCAAACAGACAGCCAAAATGAGGAGACAAAGAAGCAACCCCCAAATGAAAAAACAAGAAAATTCTCCAGAAGAAATAAATGGAACAAAGATAAGAAAGTTATCTGAAACAGAGTTCAGAGTAATGATGGTAAAGATGCTTAACAGCAAAAAAAAAATATACAGAAACTATGAAAAAAGAACAATTGGAAATAAAGAATGACATAACACAAATAAAAAACACATTGGAAGGAATACACAGCAGTGGGGAAGCTAAGGATCGAAGACAGGGTTGAAAAAAAATCAATCAGAGAACCAAAAAGAAAAAATAATGAAAAAACAGGAGGACAGCTTAAGGGAGCTGCGGGACAACGTGAAACGTAACAATATTAGAATAGCTCGTGTGCCAGAAGATGCAGAAAGGGAGAAGGAATAGAGAATGTGTTTGAAGAAATAATGGCAGAAAACTTCTCTAACCTGGTAAAGGAAAAAGTCACACAAGTTCAGGAGGCACAGAGAACCCCAAGCAAGAAGAACCCAAACAGGCCCATGCCCAGACACATAATTAAAATGCATCAAAAAAAAAAAAAAAACTAGAGAAAGTACTTAAAGCAGAATTTGAGTCATTTACTGAACACCCTTATAAAACATCAGACATAAAAAAGGATACTCAGGAGACCTTTGTCAGAGGAAACAAGGGCCTGTTAAGAAGTTGGGTCTTATAGAGAAAGACAAACACCATATGATTCACTTAATGTGGAATCGAAAGAACAAAATAAATGAACAAACAAAATAGAAGCAGACTCATAGACACAAAGAACACAGTGATGGTGCCAGGTGGGAAGGGGCTAGGGGACTGGGTGAAAAAGGCAAAGGGATCAAGAAGTACAAATTGGTTGTTATAAAATAGGCACGGGGATATGAAGTCCAGCATAGGGAAAATAGCCAATAATATTGGAATCACTATGTATGGTGCCAGGTAGGTACTGGAAATATCAGAGGGAAACACTTCATAAAGTATATGATTATCTAACCACTATGCTGTACACCTGAAACTAATATAAAATAATACTGAATGTAAACTGTAATTGAAAAATAAATTTTAAAAGAAGTTGGATCTTATGTTTCAACGAGTATGCCAATGTCAGAATACAGAGAAAGCCAATAGCACTGGCTATAACTAGTACTTCTGAGGTTTAAAACCCTCATCTTGGAGCGGGGGGAGGGGGGGTAGAGGGTAACGTGGGGACAAGGACACATATGTAATATCTTAATCAATAAAAAATATATTTTAAAAAAAAAACCCTCATCTTGGGTAAGCTCCAATCCCAATAACATTTAGCCAAATGCCAAATTGCACTGAAGTCTATAGTATATGAGAAAATAGCTAAACAAATTTTTGGTCACCATTTTGTTCAAGAAGGCAAATGGACTATAATTCCAATTTCATATATCCTTCCCTTTGTTAAATTTTTATTTATTGGTTTGGGAGAGAGACAGAGACATCAATTTGTTGTTCCACTTTATGCATTCATTGGTTGCTTCTTGTGTGTGCCCTGACTGGGGATCGAACCCGCAACCTTGGCATATCAGGAAGACACTTTAACCAACTCAGATACTCGGGCAGGCCAACTTCATAAATCTTGATATCTGTAGATTACATGCCACACTTTGTAAAAACTGATCAACCGCTTTAAAAGTTACAAGGGCCTATAAAAAAGTCGCCGTGCAGCAGGCCTGGTAGCCTGAAGAACATGGGCAAAGGAGGGCCTCGTCTTTGCCAGTCCCACAAAGATAAAGGATACCATACATGCCATCCTCAAATTCAAGAGCTGCCCGCTTGATGATGCGCTCCCTCACATTATCTCCAGGTTTTCCGGATTTGGCTTTTACATCTTCCTGTTTCCGGGTTGATAAACGCTTTAAGATAAACAGAAATAAATTAGTCATAATTGAGGTACACCTTGGATTTTTATCACTGTAAAGCACAAAAGTTTACTAGAAAAAAACTGAATTCTTTCCTACTATTACTATGAGGCCAATCTGCAATATAACAGAGTTAAAAAGAGAAAAAAGAGAATACCCAGAAATAATTTTTTTAATCCTCACCCAAGGATATGCTTATTGATTTTTAGAGAGGAAGGGAGAGAGAGAACAAGAGAAACATTGATGTGAGAGAGAAACATCAATTGGCTGCCTCCCATATGTACCCTGGCCAGGGATCAAACCAGAAATGTGCCCTGACCAGAAATCGAACCCACAACCTTTTGGTGCACAGGACAACACTCCAACCAATTGAGCCACCTGGCCAGGGCACAAATAATTCTTTAGAAAATAAGGGACTGAGGTCAGATTTATTTGAAGGGCAAGGTATCCTTGCTCTGTCTCTTTGAAGCAATTCATCCCCCTGCTCCTGTCACACTGACTGCTGCTACTGCCACCTCCCAAGGCTCCTACAACTGCACTCTCCTCCAGAGCTCGGGCACTGAGCCGGAACGAAGGGAGCAGGAACAGACTTGGGCTCTGCTTTTGCAGGGCTGTCAGAGTGTGTTTACCAGGTGTTGCTCTCTCAACAGCCTATTTCCACCTGCAGAGTCTGGACTGGTTTTGCTACCAGCACATCACAGGGCTCAGGCATATCCAGCAACCAGCCAGGAAAGTATTTCCAAAGCTGAATCTCCTAACACAGACTCTGGTTCCTATTTGCAAATGTTCCATCATTTCTCCCTAGCCGGCTGACATCAGTTTTGGATCGCAGAATGCCTTTTTTTTTTTTTTTGTCATCCAAAGGATATAGCCTATCTCTGATTCCCTGATACCCCCAATACATGTTTATTCTGTTGCTGATCCCTAGACACATATGAATCTTGGTACCAATTCTGGTCCAGATGGTCACTCTTCTAGCTCTGAGTATACTTGAAATACCTCCAATGCTCCTGCAAGCCACTTCTTGCCACAATCTCCTACCCACCAGCTGCCTAGAGCCTAATGCCTAACACTAATGGGAAGTGGCGTTCTTCCCGGACTCTGTAAACCGTAAAGCAACTTTAAGACAGACAGACAGACATTTCTGCATGATCAAACATGGACAGTCCAGCAGGGGGGACAGCCTCGGAGACCTACTTATCCTTCTCTACCCTAGGGACAGGGGGGAAGCAACGCTATGCATCTTAAGTCAGAACACTCACAGGAACCTGGAAACCAGGATCACCGGGCACTGTTGGGCTGGACAACAACACAGGTGACATGTCCCTTCACGATGGGTACATGAGAAGCTCATACTAAGACCCAGAGCAAGGCTTCCTGCTCAGCTTTTTAATTCCCTCTTATCTGGAATGAACCCAGGGACACACGTCTCTGATAATCAGACCCGGAAATACTGACAGTGAAGCTAAGTCAACTACCTCAATTCTTTTCTCATATTTTTCTCCCTTTATAAGGCGATGTACATAAATCTTAGGAATATGGATGTCTTCTGGGGCAAAGGATCCAACATCCACAATTTCTTCAACCTATACAAAGAGAAAAAGAAATTTTAATTAAATAGTGAAAGCTTAAAATGAACCCTTTTTATTAAAAAAAAATGAAGTATATGCATCTTCACTTCCAACTTGGGTTGTATACACAATGTAATAATACACACGCGCGCACACACACACACACACACACACACACAGGTGGGTGGGCAAAATCTTATACCAGGGATTACAAGAGGCATTTTAGTGATGGTGTACCTGCTGCCCAACAGCTGGGAAGGAAAAGGACATGGGGGACAAAAGCTATCTTCTTCGATAAACAGACAGATCTTGACCCAAATCAAACAAATCTCCCAGGAAGAGTCAGGAAACATGAGGGCCTCTAAACTGAAATAGTGGGTCCAGATGTGCACCGACGTTCACCTGAGAATGAGTCAGGGGGAGGCAAGGGGACCCCAGCACTGTGCTCTGAACTCTCCACGCCCCGGCATTTCCTCCCCAGCTGGTGACCAGGTGGCGGAGGGGGGACAGGCAGGGCAGCTGAGCACTGCCACCTCCTCCACCCATGGAGCTCTCAGTCATTAGGACTCATTCCCACCTTTACACTTATTCCATTCAGCTCTTCGAAGACAGTCCTGACTTTAAAAATTCATGTGTACACGAATCCATTATCCTGGGGACAAGCATGAAGACTTCCTATTCACGAAGATATTTACCACAGCATTTGCTAAAATATGAAGGAGTTGGAAACAACCTAAATGGTTAATGATAGGACAAATGTAAAATATATCTGGTGCATCCACATAATGAATAGTTAATGACAGCTCATAATTCAATGTTGGCTCTTTGGTCCTAGGTGTAAATTATTTTTATACCTACCAAAGACTGAAAGGGAATACACTGAAATACTAATAATTATCATCTCCGGGTGATAGTACAAGTTATTTTTGTTTCCCTTCTACTTTTATAATGAAGGAAACCTACAATGTTCTTTTTTTTTTTAATATGCAATAGGCATCAAGTAATTTCCAAAACGAGAAAGTACATACGTGAGAAATGTAATATATTCCTTAATTAGTTAAATAAGTACCAACAAGCACATGTGAAAAAGAAAACAGCAATGCTAAGAAAAACGGTGGTTTCTAAATTCTGAAGCACTTACAAGACTTTGAAATATATTCAGAAATCCTTTTTGCTTCCATTTTTTAAAAAATAATGTGAGTTATTCCCCATGTCTAACACTCTTCCCAAAGCTCAGGGCCTTCTGCCTCTTGCTTGCATTATTGCAGGAGCTCCCTAACTGTTCTCCCTGATGTGATGCTTCAGCAGGGGCAAGAAATACAAGGGCAAGGGACAGAAACTAGTACTTCTCACTGACACCACAAATGCTGATGGCAACCAATCACTCTTCTCCTCTGGTTCCACCAAAGAAAGTTTCGACAAAAACAACAACCCCAAATTAAGACAAAGTTTCTTCACTGAGAGTAACTGCATCACGACTTTCCCAGAGAAGGAGTGGAAGACACTGGTAAAACCACTCAGATGAAAAGCGCGCATCGGGTAACACCCCAGCACTGGGTAACACCCCATCGGGCCCACGCTTTGCTCTCCTGTTAGGATGATTTGCACACGGTAAAGTGCACGTGCAGCATCTGTTCAAACTTCATCCACACTCAACAGTATGGAAAATTTCTATACAGAAATCAATGCTTTCTCCGAGTTGGTTGGCTGACTTCCATAGCAAAGGAAGAAAAGAATGGGAAGTACAAACCAACCAGAGAAAACATGTTTTCAGACAACCTGTGAAAAGAGTTTTTAAAAAACTGAAGAGGCAGGACCATCTCAATGCTACCCACTGAAGGGGCTGAGGCTTCTGGGCTGGTTTTGTGTGATCACGAGAAAGAACCTGTGTGTGTGTGTGTGTGTGTGTGTGTGTGTGTGTGTTGGGTGGGGGGGCATCTAGTGAGATCAGGCAATAACATAAGAATCAAAGATATCTGAAAAGAAACAATGAATAAAATGCACTTGTTAAGGAAAAAGTAATAATAAAAGTGTGTAAGAGCACTCACAAACGATGGCAGAGACACACCTCCTAAAGTCACAAGTGGGTGAGATAGAGAAGGAACAAAGAAGAGGCCTCAGTGCAAAGCAATGGGCATGCGCAGGTGTCCTCAGACAAGGTCAAGTTGGAAGCAAGGTAGCTAGGAACCACCCAGACTTCTCCTTGGCGCTGTGCATAGATCTTATGTGGCACCATCTGGTCCATCTAAAAAATCCAGACACTTGAGGCTTCTCTAATTAGTACTTGTCTTCAGTCATTAGCAGGAAAATTGAGGCTAGGAAATGTTAATTATTATTGATTTGAACTCTCTTTTCCAAGGTTGCTTTCTCTGCCCTGCACGCATCCTACTTTATAATTCTGAAAAGTTGTATAATAAAGCTCGGAGAGAGATCAGAATTCATCCTTGGGTGACAATGTTTTTGTTTTTACTTGGCAAGTACTATTTATATCTCAGGGAAAGGAACAGAGGAGCTGCCAGGCAATAGGTTCCTTATTTTTATTTATTTATTTATTTATTTAGTGACAACCTCCATCCGTTACAGCCACAGAAACGGCCCGACCATGGAGGCTGCTAGTGGAGAAGGCTGTGAACCTGCAAACCCGGATGTTTCATGATGCAAAGTGAGGGCTGTGGGGGAAGGAAGGAGGCAGGAATCACATGGCAGACTTTTTCCCTGAGTCATTTTAACTTTCAACAAGGTTTCAAATGACCCTGGCTGGGTTGTTCAGTTGGTTGGAGCATCGTCTCATACACCAAAATGTTGCAGGTTCAATGCCCGGATGGGGAGCATATGGGAGGCAACGGATCGATGTTTCTCTCCCTCTCTCTTTCTCCTTCCTCTCTCTCTAAAATCAATAAACGTATTCTCAGGTGAGGATTTAAAAAAAAGGTTCAGAATGAACATTCATCTTTTGCCAAGAAATAAAAATAGCAGACAAGCAGCAGCAATAATGTCTGTCATCCTATGAAACACCAACCCAAATTAGCAAAAGCTGAAGCCTAGAAAAAGTAGGGAGAAACTAAGATGGCGGCATAGGTAAACACCGGGAAATTGTCGCCTCCCACAACAATTGAAAATTACCGCAAAGGACTGAGCAAACATCATCCAGATCAACAGAAAGGCTGGCTGAGTGTAAATTCTACAACTAGAAGGAAAGAAAAGCACGCTGAGAGCCAGAGGCGCTGCGGAGGTGAAGTGCAGAGGTGCGGCTCGCGCGCACGAGGAAAGGGGGTGGCACCTGAGGACGCGGCTGTCTTTTTGAATCACAAACTCCCGACTGCTCTGAACTCCGGTTCCGGGAAGTCTCTGGGGACCCAGGTCTCATACGGGGAGAAGCTGGTCTGTCCGGCAGCGGGCGAACTTGAAGGCGGCTTTCCCTCAGAGGTGCTTGCAGCAATTAGCGGGTCACTGAGACCCGCGACTCCGGGCGGAGAATCAGCCATAGCCCCCTGATCCGCCCTTTGATTCCCTGAGACCACGCCCCACCCAGGCTGCAGCAGAGGCTTTTGCATGTGAATGTACCTAACTGCAGCCCAGCCAGGCAGACCCGGAACTTCCAAGAGAAGGCCCAAGGCCCCGCAGTGGCTTGCATTGCTTCACAGCTGAGCCTCTTCGTGGCTCCTGCTGTGTGGCCTCAGGCAGAGGCTGAATTAGCACCTCCTTAGATCCAGGAGCCACTGTACCCAGTGGTCAGAGGGTACCAGACTGCAACTCCTCAGATCCATAAGGGACACACTCAGGGAGCAGACTCAGTGAGCACCAAAGCCCCACTGAAGCAAGTCTTGCCCCAGAAGGGTGTCTTCAGCACAGAAGTTCTCCCACTTTAGACACAGCTGATTCTCACAGCCAATTGGCCTGGAGGTCAATTCCTCCCAGTGATTCTACAACAACCAAGGCACCAAGAGTGTCCACCCCAGGTAACTGGGGAGGCTGAGCTACTGGGCCCTACAGGACACCTGGCACGCAGGGCCACTCTATCAACACAGGGAAGCTGCCAAAATGCGGAGACAAAGAAACAGGTCACAAATGGCAGAAATGGAGGAAAGCAAACGATTGGATATAGAGTTCAAGGCCACGTTTATAAGGTTTTTCAAGAATTTTATGGAAACCGCCGATAAATTTAATGAATCCCTCAATAAGTATAGTGAGACCATGGAGTACATGAAAAAGGACCAACTAGAAATTAAGCATACACTGACTGAAATAAAGAATAATTTACAGAGATCCAGCAGCAGACAAGAGGATCCCAAGAATCAAGTCAAAGATTTGAAATTCAAAGAAACAAAAAATACCCAACCGAAAAAGAAAAAAGAAAAGAGATTCCAAAAATATGAAGATAGTGTAAGGAACCTCTGGGACAACTTCAAGAGTACCAACATCAGAATTATAGGGGTACCAGAAGGAGAGAGAGGGCAAGATATTGAAAACCTTTTTGAAGAAATAATGACAGAAAACTTCCCCTACCTGGTGAAAGAAATGGACTTACAAGTCCAGGAAGCGCAGAGAACCCCAAACAAAAGGAATCCAAAGAGGACCACACCAAGACACATCATAATTAAAATGCCAAGAGCAAAAGATAAAGAGAGAATCTTAAAAGCAGCAAGAGAAAGACAGTCAGTTACCTACAAGGGAGTACCCATACGACTGTCAGCTGATTTCTCAACAGAAACCATGCAGGCCAGAAGAGACTGGCAAGAAATATTCAAAGTGATGAATAGCAAGAACCTACAACCAAGATTACTTTATCCAGCAAAGCTATCATTCAGAATAGAAGGTCAGATAAAGAGCTTCACGGATAAGAAAAAGCTAAAGGAGTTCATCACCACCAAACCAGCATTATATGAAATGCTGAAAGGTATTCTTTAAGAAGAGGAAGAAGAAAAAGGAACTCTTACCATTTGCCACAGCATGGATGGAACTGGAGAGTGGATAAATACCACATGATCTCACTCATTTGTGGAATATAATGAACA